ATAACGTTCATCTCTTGGTGACTTTCCTTGATTGAATTCAAATTATTAAAAACCTGGAAATCTATCTGTTGCACGCGGATTCAGAAACAGCAGTCTCAGCATTTTTGTAGGCCCCTGGATTTCTGGTGCAATAACTGAGCTGTTACATTTTCATTACCATAGCACCATAAGATGTAGGCCATTCAGCCCACCGAGACTGCTTCACCATTTGAAGCAGGTCATGGCTGATCTGATAATGCCCAAATTCTCTCTCCTGCCTTTTACCCATAACCCTCAGTTCCCTCACTAATCCTACCTCAGACCAGTGTTTTGAGTCATGTGACCAATTTGCCATGGCTCAATGGTTAGCACTGCTGGGGACCTGGGTTCGATTCCACCCTCGGGCAACTGTCTGTGTGGAGTTTGCACATTCTCCGTGTCTGCGCGTTTCCACTGGGTGCTCTGGATTCCTCCCACAGTCCAAAGATGTGAGGCTAGGTGGGTTGGCCATGCTAAATTACCCATAGAGTTCAGGGATGTGTAGGGTAGGTGGATTAGCCGTGGAAAAGGTGAGGTTACAGGGATAGGGTAGGGTTCCGGGTCTCGGTGGGATACTCTTTGGAGGGTTGTTGATTACTTGATGGGCCAAATGGCCTTTTTCAACATTGAATGATTCTAATTTGATGCCAATTAAGGCAAATATGTGTTATATTCCTTCAGATTTATTTCATATATTGTCACTTGTACTTAGCTACAGTGAAAAGTGGATAATGTCTCCATGTTCCAACGGCATCTTGGATTACTGAAAAATTTCTGGAATAAGTTGTATAAATGATAAAATACTGAATAAATCAATATTAAATTGATATTACTAAAACTGAAACAGCTTCAAAAGTTCATTGAAATTGACCACCTTTACAAAAAAAAATCGGTTTTCATCCAATAAAGAATTTGCATTTAAATAGCACTTGTCACATCCCCATGCCATCGCCAAGTGCTTCATATCAGATTAATTCCATCTGAGGTTAGTTACTGTTCTAAGGAGAAGTTTCCACAATTAAACAACAAATGAGATAAATCACCAAATAGTCTGGTTGAGGAATGTTGGTTGGGAGAGAAGTAACAGCCAGAAAGCTGGGATTATTCTTTTGTTCTACTTGACCTAGTCCCACAGGATTTTTCATGTCCACTCAAGGGGACAGCAGGGAGATGATCAAACTGCTGGGAGCTTTCCCCCTCACACTGACAGCTCTGTGGAATCAGCGTGGACTCTGTACTCAATGGTGGATTAGACATTGAACGCACAACCTTCTCACTCAGAAGCAAAGCTGCTCTCCACAGAGCCACTTTCAGGAAGGTTCCCTCACCAATCCTACCTCAGACCAGTGTTTTGAGTCATGTGATCAATTTGCCATGCCTCTGGCATACTAACCCACTGCACAATCCAATCCAACAGCAGCTCTTATTTCTGAGCTGATCTGTTTATCTGCACCAAATTTCTTCTCTTCATGTCCGAAAGACCCACTGACCCTGGATCGGATATAGTTTCACAGGCACTGGTTCTCCCATTGATATTTCCATTTAGTGACTTGGTCAATTGCCCATTTTCCATGTGGGAGTGTAAATGGTGAGAGGGAGAACTGACCTCTTCCTAAATAGGAATGTACAGGTTGTCTAGACTTGGCCTGCATCCCTCTGAGGAGCAATCTTATTGAGGGGATTGCAATGTTTAAAGAATTCAGTCACTAGCCAGAGGGAAAAAAGTACTATTTCCTCTGAGGAATAACTCAGAATAAATGGGTATAATCTTAAAATTAGAATGAAGTCATTCCAAGGGCCATTGTACGGAGAGGGTAATGAAAGTATGGAATTTGCTTCCCGAAACAATCCGAGTGCTGAGGGAGAGTTGGAATCTTCATGTCAGAAATCAATAGAATTTTTTTTTGTCAGGTGAGCTGAAGGTAGTCACAGGTTTGGAAGAAAGAAGATAAATGCAATGGTAGATATAATTCAGGCATGGATTAGCTGTGATCGAACTGCAAGACAGACCACTTCAAAGGGCTGAAGGGTCTGCCATTTCTGATTTAACTGTGATGTTGTTTGAGGTGGAAACCAGATGGGCAAGATTTGTAAGGAAGCCTGACCAATCGCATACATCGCACAGTCAGTATATCTTTACAAGAGACTTACTCGTGTTATCATCATTCTATCACAGCACGTGATCTGATCATATAAATTGTTGGTGAGCCCGGCTCAAGATTCATGGCAGCAATGACGAGGATGATCTGGACATTTTCTTTTCCATCTCTTTAATTTGTTCTTTTTTTAGAATTTTATTGTATTCTGAGATGGCACAATACAGAGTGGCAACTCCGTAAACTTTTCACTGTATTCCTATACTCTTACACAATAAAATCCAATTTAATCTTAATCTAAAGCTCTCACACTCCATTTTACCACTTGAAGCATGCAACATTATTAAAAGCATGCTGCTTTGTTGTAATATAATCATTTAATTTGACCTCAGGCCTGTGTGTGTAATTTTGTACATATTCGTTAGCCATAATAAACATCTGTTGGATTCTTCAATACCACTATATCTGTATCAAGTTTTGTATGTAATGGGAGAAAACAGAAGCACATCACATCATGTTAAAATACCCTATTAGAGGCAAACACATGATGGTTGGCAACAGTGATGGTCTACAAAAAAAAACTTATATCTCTGTTGTAACACAGTGTGGAGCTGAAGGAACACAGCAGGCCAGCTTTCCTGCTCCTCTGATGCTGCCTAGCCTGCTGTGTTCCTCCAGCTCTACACCTTGTTATCTCAAACTCCAGCATCGGCAGTTCTTACTATCCCATATCTCTGTGGTAGCTGTTTGGAAAACTAATTGAAGACTAGGTAGACAGTAGACAGTTTGAACAAAAAGGGACAGCTGCTGACCTCTAGCAGCATCAGTTTCTGTGAAGGGGTGGCATGTTGGCTCAGTGGTTAGCACTGCCGCCTCACAGCGCCAGGGACCCGGGTTCGATTCCAGCCTCGGTTGACTGTCTGTGTGGAGTTTACACATTCTCCCTGTGTCTGCATGGGTTTCCTCACACAGTCCAAAGATGTGCAGGTTAGGGTGGATTGGCCATACTAAATTACCTGTAGCGTTCAGGGATGCGTAGATGAGGTGGGTTACAGGGGGATGGGTCTGGGTGGGATGCTCTGAGGGTGGGTGTGGACTTGTTGGGCCAAAGGGCCTGTTTCCACACTGTAGGGATTCTATGATAAGAATCCGTATATGGCATTGCCCACCAAGATGACAGAGCTCATTTCTTTGTTATTAGAATGTAAGTTCTTTCAAGATACAAGGAACTTCAAAGAGTTTGTTATTTAAGAGTAACAAGGCTGAAGTTCCAAATACAACTAAAGTAAAGGTTACAGATCTGCACTGAAGCACAGTGAGTACTCTTCCTCTCTCGCTTTCAGAATTAGAATTAGCTTTATTGTCATGTGTACTCAATGAATGCAGTGAAAAGTTTACAAGTCACCACTTGCTGTGCCATCTTAGATACAAAGGTACCTTGGTACAGATTCTTAAGTGCAAATTCTTAGGGAGAAAAAAAAAATTGGAAAAATAAAGAAATAAAAAGTTCGGGAATAACAGTCCTTCCAACACAGTCCACGCCAGCACCCAGCCTCTAGTCCACACTGGGCCTTGACTCCAGACCATGCTGGGCTTCACCTCAAGGCTGGGAGATTGCTCTGGAATCATCTTGAGGCCAGAAGTCCATGCTGAGGCCATGCTGCCGAAAGACAGACATGCCCATCTGAGAAATTGCCAAGAGACCGCCACACCGGGCCGAGAGACAGCCATTCTGTGCCAGGAGTCCACCTCAGGCCTACAGACTGCCACACCAGGCTGAGAGACAGCCATTCTGCACCAGGAGGCCACCTCGGGCCTAGAGGCTGCCACACCTGGCTGAGAGACAGCCATTCTGCGCCAGGAGGCCACCTCGGGCCTAGAGGCTGCCACACCTGGCTGAGAGACAGCCATTCTGCACCAGGAGGCCACCTCGGGCCTAGAGGCTGCCACACCAGGTTGAGAGACAGCCATTCTGCGCCACAAGGCCACCTCAGGCCTAGAGGCTGCCAAGCTGGGCCGGGAGATCGCTACATGGGGTCCACGCTGAGGCCGGGTGTTCAGGAAATCACCAAGAAAGAAGGGGCCAAAGAAAACACAAAAGAGAAAAAGAAGGAAAAAAGAAATGGACGGAGCGTATGAACTCCAGCTCAGGGGGCCTACTCTCTCACCATCTTGGAATCTTAACAAAAGAAACATGAGGGGCTACTGTTCCAACTTTAAAAAGACAATTAAATGGTCCTGAAAGCACAATTCCATAGCTCACCTAGAAGAAAACACAACTTAATAAAGCAGTTTTCTACATTAAGAAGATGTATGTCCATATGTCAGTCAAGTCTACCATGTTCATTCCTTAAATCAGCATAATGAAAATAAGGAAGAAAAAGCTCCCCATGATATCAACATCACTCCTTTATTGGTGTGAAAACCACATACAAGCAGAAACTTGTTACTGCAAGCCTGCAGTCTTTAAAGGAGCACTAGAGAGAAATAAAAGGGACATAGAAGCAAAAAAGGGAAAATAAAAGGAGATCCCGACAAAACTGGTAAAGGAAATAAGCACGGCACTGTACTCCTTATAAAAAGCAAAACCCTGCAATGAGAAATGAATGGTGTTATAATACTGGGTAAGTCAGATCACAATCTGAAATCTGGCTTGATAAATCATGACTTGTTTGGGTTTTAACAAGATGATCTCTCACTAAAACATAAGCACGCAATTTTACAGATTTAGTTTTTACAATGAAACAGAAGTGTATCGATTTCTAGTACTAAGATAAAATAAAATAGACCAAACTATTTACATATCATATGCCTTTAAAGATTTTGAAACATGCAACAGAAATATTACCCCATTAATTCCAAAAGCACCCCCTATACAATACTCACAAAGAAAAGTCTTTTACAACAAAAGACTTAAGTTAACTGCAGCTTCAACTCCCAATCTGGAAAACCCGATAGCCATCTTCTGAAGCTTTCACATTGCTGAGTTTAAACATTCCCAGCTTCAAACAACCTCTTCAGGGTTTTATCCAAAGACTTCTGGACTGGGATTGTTACTATCCAGTACTAAATCCCTTACTCCTTCCTCAATGGTAATCTGGTTTTACTTTCTTCTCCCTTTCTCAGGAACACTGTTTTATACATCAATAACCATCCAAGGACTTCTGTGATATTAACCCAAAATGAAAACAAAGATTAAGAAGGTTTTTATTAACCAAGCTACAGCTGTTTCCTTAAACAGACAGAATACTTGATGCACAATTGTTTATATTGCTTGGTCATTAAATCCTTATAATGTAAATAAAAATCCATTAGTTGAGAAAGCTTGTCCATCAAACAGTTTTAAAAGAAATCACCAGGGCTACAGTAATACCTAAAAATTAATCATCAACTCTTCAGAAATACAGAAAATACAATATCCACTGTTTCAAAATTCAAAGACCTAACTTCTAATAAATTACGTATATATGAAAATAAATAATAATGTGTAAATCACACAGTCGACATCACAAAGCCTACCGACCAACCTCATCCCGCCCCCTTGACCTGTCCGTCCTCCCTGGACTGACCTATCCCCTTCCTAACTCCCTACCTACACTCACCTTTCCTGGCCCCATCCCCGCCTCTTCAACCTGTTTGTTTCCTCTCCACCTATCCTCTCCTCTATCCGTCTCCCACTCTCTCCCTATTTATTTCAAAACCCCCTTCCCTTCCCCCTTTTCTGATGAAGGGTCTAGGCCCGAAACGTCAGCCTCTCTGCTCCTATGATGCTGCTTGGCCTGCTGTGTTCATCCAGCCCTGCACCTTGTTGTCCCACAATTAAGGGATTGGCTGTCTGCTGACATCTTTATTGAATTCAACTATTCCATCAACACATAAAATTCTATATTACAGATCAAATGGTAGATGACACTGAAAAAGTGTACTACAAATCTTGCTTGCCATTGCCAATGAGGGGCTTCAAAGAATTAATACATCTGGTCTCTCCATAGATGATCAGAAAGATCCAGAAAAGACAATCAGAGTCACAGAGTCATACAGCGCGGAAACAGACCCTTTAGTCCAACCGGTCTACGCTGAACATAATCTTAAACTAGTCCCACCTGCCTGCTCCTGGCCCATATCCCTCCAAACCTTTCCGATTCACGTATCTATCCAAACATCTTTAAAAATGTTGTAATTGTTATCACATATACCATTTCCTCAGGAAGTTCATTCCACATGCGAACCACCCTCCGTGTAAAAATTTTGCCTCTCATATCTTTTTTAAATCTCTCTCCTCTCACTTTAAAAATGTGCCCCTTAGTCTTGAAATCACCCATCCTAGGGAAAAGACAACTACTATTAACTCTATACGTCTCATTATTTTATAAACTTCCATCAGGTCGCCTCTCAACCTCCTACACTCCAGAGAAAAAAAAGTCCCAGCCTGTTCATCCTTTCCTTATAACTCAAACCTTCCATACCTGGCAACATCCTGGTAAATCTCTTTGCTCCAGCTTGATAATATCCTTCCTATAACTGGACATAGTATTCCAGAAGAGGCCTCACCAATGTCCTGTACAACCCCAACATGACTAACCAACTCCTATACTGAAATGGTTGAACTTCAAAAGTTTTAAAAGACTAGTTTGAGGGAAGCATTTGAGACTAACAGACTCCAACTCATGTCATATGGGCAGCAAGCCCAAGTGTCTATTTACCAGTTTGTTGGAAGATGCCACAGCAAAGGGCATGTGTGACTTTTCTGAAGAGGAATTGTCTAAGAGGTTCATTGAGTTAGTCATCCCCTTCACACCAATGAAAGCCTTTTGGGCAAGTTAAAGGGCCACACCATTGATGCACACAGGATGGACACACACATGAATCCACAGTGACAGGCCAACAACAATGACATTCTTTAGGTGCCATTCAATGCTATTGCCACAGTCAGCAGAGATCACCAAACCAACAACATCTATAAGGGGCCCACCTCTCACACCCCTACCAAAGCTGTGCAGCTTTGTTTAATATCTCCAGAGCACGTAGCACAAAGCATATATGGTCTGGATGTCCTGCACATGCCCAAAGTCCATAGGACCTAGATGTCCTGCACATGCCCAAAGGCCATAGGACCCGGATGGTCCTGCACATGCCCAAAGGCCACAGGACCCGGAT